ATCTTGTTGAATAATTTTAACTATGTAATGATGCATACTATACCCCTACATATTAGCTATGTATGTGTATGCCTGACCATAAAAGGTGATGCTGGGAAGGGAGTAAGTTTGTGAGCAATTATGCAATTTTTTGACTATATCATTTCGGGCAAGTTTCTTAAACTCTCTCTGCCTGTTTCCACATCCATAGTATAAACACTCTTACATAGTTGCTATGAGTATAAACATTAAGTCCAGTGACTGGAACATAATACACCTTGGGTGATCATTGGCTATTTTTTGTGAATATCAAGTACTTTAGTTTAAACATAACTTTGTTTTCTAACTAGATTAAATTATGAAAATTGTGGCATACATGTATAAAAATGAAAACAACATAACAATCCCAGAGAATTTTTAAACAAGATGACATTTCAAACACTGAAAGTCAATCTCTCTGCCTCCAGGTTAGCATGTACCTCAAATATCTCAGTTCATCTTACTTCTTAAAAATGTGCATTGAAAATCTGAATAAAATTAATATTACTGAATTTTCAATTATGAGGCTGTACTTTTTCAGTCATACCTATTTAATGCATTTTAAGTTTTCTTAAAGACATATGAAACCAAAGAAATTAGTTGGCCTCAATCCCCAAGCCCCCCAACAAACAAACAAAAATAAAACCCCAAACAAGTACATATAATAAAAAGTAAACAATGTTGCTAATTAACAAATTGATCCTTAACTTTTCATTTGATTATGATTTACCTACAACTTACCAAAATACGGAGAAAACTGCAAAGAAAATGCTTAATTTTGTTTCTAAAAAAATAGGTCCCAAATATTGGCTTTTTTTTTTTTTTTTTTAATTTCTTCTTTCAACTTTGGTAAAGGAGCTCAAGAACCCACATTATTCAAGGAAAGAACTCCCTGCAAGGAGGAGAAATAGGCATGGTCTCATCTCCCAAAATAAAGGGCAGTGTGTGCCAACATGGCATCAGAGAATGACTGTGATCACAAGACAGGCCTTGATGAGGGGCGGGCCTGAAGGATCTGGAAACTCTCCAGGATGATTTAGAGAACACAAGAGTGGGCAGAGCCAAGCGCCCCAATGAAAGCATAGCATACAATTAAGGAAAATGAAGCAGGCAGAGCTGAGTTAAAGATTGAGATTAAATGGTGTTTTTGTGAGTTATAATAACTTTTAAAATTTTCATTACATTTGTTGGCGTGACATAGGTTAATAAAATTATATAGGTTTCAAGTGCTCAATTTTTAACATACCATCTGTATATTGCATTGTGTGTTCACTACACAATAAATTTGTAATTTGTATTCATGATCCAAAGAAAACATTTTAGTAAATATTAAAAAAAAAAAAAGATAAACACAAATGCATGGTTTGCTTGAAACTGAATATTTAGTAAATTCTGTCATTTTAAAACATATTTTCTCTTCCATGGATACTTTAAATTTATAAGAAACTTGAACCTTATACACATACAAAATGTGGCTACGTTTTCTCCATTTTTTTCCAAAATATATTTTTATTGATTTTTTAAAGAGAGAAGGAGAGAGATAGTTAGAAACATTGATGAGAGAGAAACATCGATCAGCTGCACTCTGCACACACCCTACTGGGGATGTGCCGGCAACCAAGGTACATGCCCTTGACCGGAATTGAACCTAGGACCCTTCAGTCCACAGGCTGACACTCTATCCACTGAGCCAAACCAGTTTCGGCTCCAATTTTCTTGAGAAAGATTAAATCTAGATCCAATCCATGTGTTTTTTAGGAAACCCTTTAATTTCACCATAGTCTTGCTGAAGTATAGACTTTTACTTCAGTCTGATTTGCTAATCCTATGTAATAAAAGCCTAATATGCTAAGTGTCTGGTCAACCTGTCAGCTGTTCAACCAATCGAAGCGTATTATGCTAATGATGCTAAGGCCACTCAACAGCTTGCTATGATGGGCACTGACCACCACAGAGCAGATGCTCTGACCAGTAGATTAGCTTGCTGCTGGGATCTGGCCAATTGGGACTGAGCAAGACAGACTGGACACACTCTGGAGTCCTCCTATGTTTCCTCCCTGGCTGGCCAACATCCTGTGTTTCTCCCCAGTCCTGATTATGCACTGGAGGGGTCCCTCAGCCTGGCCTGTGCCTTCTTACAATCTGGGACCTCTCAGGGGATGTTGGAGAAGCAGGCCAGGCCAAGGGTCCCCAATGGTTCATGAGTTCATGTACCAAGCCTTTAGTTAATAATAATATTATAGAATTTCATAATACATATGTACATATATTACTTTAACTGTACAATAACCCTGTGGGGAAGGATTATTGTACAGAAATGACAGGTTTCATTTCTATTTATTTTTTTATTATGGTTGATTTTAAACAGGAAATAAACTTAAATATTATTTGGAAATCATAGATATAGGAATTATTAGATCATGTTAAGAATGTGCTCATTTGCCAAAACCGGTTTGGCTTAGTGAATAGAGCATCGGTCTTTGGACTTAAGGGTCCCAGGTTTGATTTTGGTCAAGAGCATGTCCATTGGTTGCCAGCACATCCCCGGTGGAGGGTGTGCAGGAGGCAGCTGGTTGATGTATCTCTCTCATCGATGTTTCTAGCTCTCTATCCCTCTCTTCTCTGTAAAAAAAAAAAATCAATAAAATATATTAAAAAAAAAGAATGTGCTCATTTCATGAATGATATAGCTAGTATTAAGAGAGGCCACCCGGTTTTGGTAGAGTTAGAACAAAAACTTCTAACTGTGGCTTTAATTTCAGAGCACTTTACCCTACACTTTAGCTGTACTGTCTTTTTTTTAATTTTTATTTTTTTTACTGATTTCAGAGAGAGAAAAGGAGAGGGAGAGAGAGGTAGAAGCATCAATGATGAGAAAGAATCTTCAATCAGTTGTTTCCTGAACATCTCCTACTGGGGATCAAGCCCCCAATCCAGGCATGTGCCCTGACCAGGAATGGAACCATGATCTCAGGTTCATGGGTCGGCGTTCAACAATTGATCAATAGACTGGCCAGGCTGTACTGTCTTTTTAAATACGTAGAGCAGCTATCATCTATAATAATTTATAATAACAAAAGGGTAATATGCTAATTAGACCAGACATCTTCTGGACATCATTCTGGACGTCCTTCCTCACGGAGCTGTGGCTGGGGGAAGCCAGCCCAGGTCCCAGGTGCCTGCTGGCAGCCAGAGGAGGGAAGCCCAGGTCCTGGGTGCCGGAGGGAAGCGGTGCTGGCAGCCTGGGGAAGGAAGGCCTACTCTTGCATGAATTTTCATGCATTGGGCCTCTAATTTATAAATAATGTCAGCTGATTTATTCAGCATTAATTCATATTTATGATTGTTTTAGATCAACTATCTTATCTATTTCCAAAAAAATGTAAAACTGAAACTCTGTCAAAGAACACCCAGTTTTTATTCTTATCTTTTTACAAGTGATTTATTTTATGTAACCAAAATAAATTTTCAATTATTATGTGTTACTTGAAATGTTAAGATTAATGGTTTTAACCACTTTGTAGTTTCAAAAGTTTGAGTAGCAGTTCAGACTATAAAACATTCTTTTGGGAAAGCACATACACTCTGGTGACTCAGAGAATAATTTAAACATAAAAATAAAGAAAATAGATGAAGAGATTAAGATGGGGGAAAAAAGCCCTCAAAGAAACAGATAACAGTATGGTGATTATCAGAGGGAGAGCAGGTTGGAGGCAAGTCGAAGGAGGTAAAGAGAGATGGCATATTCCCTGACTGGGATGCTGATGGCAGACCCCAGGTGGAGGCGCCTGCAGGCTTGCTCAACGATAATGTGATGCTGCCTGCTTGCATCCCTTCCCAGTGCTGAGATGACTCCGCCTGCCTGCATTCCCTGGCCAGGAATGTGACACTGCCTACGTGCATCCCTGTCCAGTTTATTAATAAATTTATATATCATTTTATATACATTTTACTCATTTCCTTTCATCTCTGACACTTCTATTATAGAGAAAGGGCAAATAACATTATTAAAATATTTCCTCTAATTAATTCCCTTTTAATGTGCATGAATTTTGTGAACCGGGCCCCTAGTTCGAATATAATGCAAAAGTAGTTTACACAAGCCATGCAATTAGCATCACATCTTTCTCCCTACACCCTTAATATATGCTTATTAGTGACTGATAGACTTAGTACATGCTTATTGTGCACCTACTGTGTGCCAGAGGTGATTCTAGGCACTGTAGATAGCTTAGGGGATGAGATCAGAGATACAACAAGATGCTGACAAAGCAGATCCTTATGGATCTTTGCAGAGAACTTCATTTTTTGTTACTTAAGATAGAGAGCCCCTGCAGGGTGTTGAGCATATCATCGCATCATTGGCTTTAATATAGACAGATGTTGATCACTGTAGTTGCTGCGTTAAAAAGAGACTACAGATGGGCCAATGTTGATGCAGGAAGACAAGTTTGGAAGAGCAATTATGATGCTTACACTGATTTTGCATATAACTTCAATGATTTTCTAGTGTAGAAATGTTAAAGTCAGGCTTAATTTCTTTTCTCTAAGTTATAAAATTGTTCTCTGCATATTCTAATCTCATAGACAACTTGCCACCTTTCTGATCCCTATATGGAGGGAATAATGTATTCATGTTCTGTCAGATAGATGTACATTAAAAACATGCCACAGGATTTTATCTTAGGCAGCATCTATAAAAATTATTATATAATAATGTACTATGTGTTTCTAAATTTAACGATGAGATTGCACCGAGATAATTTCAAATACTTTTAAATATGAATATGTGCATAATAATATATGTGTTTGAAGATTAGTGCATCCAGAATTCAGAGATAATAAAAAAAATTGTCTATCCCATTCTTGCTTTGGAATTTCAGATACCATATTAAGAAGCAGAGATAAAAGGAGAAAGCAAGGAACAACTTGAATGCTGCTAAAGTAAGCCTCTACATTGCAGCAGTTCACAACGGTGTGTTATATATAGAAAGAAGATCAGCCATTGGTTTTAATCCTGCCAAATAAAACTGAACTATTGGAATGGCATGCCACTTGACCTTTCGGGGTTCAGGAGCAGTATTTAACTGGTGTGAAGGAAACACACTTGCAAAGTGTCTTCTTTGACATGACAGATTCTCCTGGAGGTTTACACAATGTTCAAAAGGCAGAAGTCCCTTGTTTCAGAAAGCAAGAGAGACCTTTCTTCCACAGCAAAGAATGACATGAGAAAATTTCACTCTTTTTCTCAACTTATACTCTCAGCGGGCCCTCTGAAGTCAGCTCCAGCAGTGAAACATTCAAAAGCAGCTCACTTTGAGATTGAAATACTTGATGCGCACACAAGAAAGCAGATATGTATTGTGGATAAGGTAAGTTTATTTATTTAAATTTTCTCTTCTCTGCTACAATGATTATAAATCTCTAAAATGCTGACCAGACTACAGTAAAACACATTCCTGGTTTTTTATTTTTAATGAGTAGAATAGACACTTTATATATTGTTTCAGTAGGAGAAATTTACTGCAGTTCTCATCATCAATTTAAATGGTAGCTAATAAATATTAGGTTGACCATTGTCAGGAGGCAAAATTTCCATTGTTTGCCTTCTTGTTGTACACGAGAAAAAACTGCCTCTACATTTTTCTCCTCATGCAATTGAATATTCATATTATCAGAGAGTTGTAATAGTATTTGTAGAAAATAGCAAGCAAAAATCACTGAAATTACTAAAAATTCTATTTAATATATATGATGAAGTCTCTCCATTAAAAATTATTTAGGATTGATGTAATTATTTGTCTTGAAAAACGAACATCTCACTTTTTATAAAAAATTTACTTATTTCAAAACCACAGTTTCTTGCTTTATGTTGCCCAATTATATTCAAGCATGGATGTTTAATATATAAAGATAAAATGTAAATATAAAAATTTATACTTTCTAGTTTATGTAATCTTGTGTACATTGTAGATAACATATGCATATACAATACTTCAAACACTTTTTAGTCTTTCAGAAGTTTGAAAAGATACTAGTAGTTTATTATGAGGAATATAGATATTTTAAATAAAACATTTACTTATTTGTCTTTACTGATGTTTAGTTTTTGCTTTTGTTCTAAAAATAAAATCAAATCACTGATTCCATTCAACTAATCTCTAGTCCTGTTTCTAGATAAGAAGGGAAGAGAAGTACTTGTTTTCTATTTTAATTGCCAAGAAAATAATATATACTTTCTTGTTCAGTAATTATAACTTATGATCAGTTTATTTTGAGGTAATATTAACTTTTATTTATTGATGGAAATAAAAAATAAAGCACTTTTACAAGTTCATATAGGACATAAGTGCAACACAGTATTAAAACCATTTTTATGCAACTCTAAATCATATTCTCTTTATTTAGTACTATTGGGGCCATATATACATGATGCATATATATGTTATATATAAATAATTATAACTTATTAATTTAATACACAGCATAAGCTATTCTGTCATCTCAGTAAATATTTTATATTTTTGCATTTTACAAAAATAAAAATAATATAATCTGGAAGTTGCTGACATCTTTGATTGCTCACCATTGAAAAAGCTTTAAAATAATACATTTAAGTTAAGGGGAATATGGCATTCAATGGGGTAGATGTCAAATTGGTCAAGGATTTACAAAGATCAAGATGCTAAAATGAAATTAGTTCCTGGGTGCTTTCTGATATGTATTTAAACCTTGACCACAAACCCACATTAAATACTAAAAAGCGGATGTGCTCCTAATTATTTTCCTCACAGTTATATCTCATGTTATTGTGATTTCATTTGAAGCTAAGACATGGCATTTTACATTCTAATAATATTTAAATTGGGGGGGGGGGAGCATCCAGAAATCCAGCATTTTTTGGAGATATGTATTTGGCTCAGGAACCTCATATTTGAAATGTAAGATTTCTGGTATTTGCATTTCCAGTAGCAAACTTTTAGGGGAAACTCACTAAGCTGGACAGGGAGTTAGTTTTGAATGCCTCATCAACCTTTATTGGGCATTCAGCACCATATTATGTACAACTTACTACATACAGATCTTTGTCTTGCCAGTAAAATTGGATTTTATTTCATCTTATTTTAATTTTGTAATTTGGTAAATTATCTCATAATGATGGCATGACTTTTAAAAGAAAAAAATCTTAATTATTTTACTTTTTTGTTGTTTCATGATTCTTACTAGATCAAATTTGTAACTATGGGAAAGATTGATTGTGTTTGCTCTTCTAGATATTGTTTTTCTTAGACAAATTAATAGCTATATTAACAGTAAGGTCATGTTAAGAGTCTTTCATTGCATTTAGCTCTATCTACCATACAAAAGAAGTATTGCTTATGACTTAATCCTTATCTTTCAGTAAGTATTGCCTAATAAAGTTGTGAAAGTTACAGGTCATGCACTTTGGAAGTATGCATAGCTGCACCGAATACTTGTCACATCAATCACATTTATCAAGGCTCAGGAAAGTCACTGAGTTGCTAAACCCAGGACCATTATTTAGAATATAGGTTAATAAAAATCTATTTGTAAGTGTACAGTGAAGAGGAGGAACAGTATATTTAACAGGCTTAGCATAGTGCCTTGCACAGAATTGAGAAAATATTTTTTGTAGTTTTAATAATCATTTAGAGAGATAAATTTAATGTATGTAAAAATCTAAGAAAAAAATAAGTGGCGAACCTTGTGATACTGGCACAGAATTTCCATTTGACTTTTTAATAATTATCCATTAACATGATTAGTTAAGATATACATGTTTAGGTATCTTGAATAGGATGTATGTATCTTAGTAATTTATTCTGAGCTCTGCAGAAATTGTGTCTGTATATAAATACTATAAGATCAACCTCAGAATGGACAAAGAATGTACCAAGGATATTCATGGGACCAAACTATTGAGAGAATTCCTGGAATTAAAGAAAATATATGGAATCCTGTTCTGCACACACACACACACCCCAAACAAAACACTTTCTATTGCCTTAAATATCTTCTTCAGCTTGTGCCCCATTTCCCTCACTATTTTCATTGTGTTCATTTCATCTGCCCATCATTTATCTTCTCATTTTATCCTAAGACACACTCCATTCAGGTACCTTCCTCTATTACTTTCCAGGATATGAACTTGCTGAGGCCACCAGAGACAGTGACAAATACCTTGCTAAATCCAAAGGTCAATTCTCATACTATCATATTCAGTTTATGAGCAACATATGAGCATTTGCCCCTGTTAAGTACAAGTACATCCTCTTTAAAACACTTTCGCTATTTGGGTTCCAGGATAATACTACACAGTTTGTTTGTTTTTTAAACCAATATTATTTGCTCCTTTCTTTTCTCTTGCTTCTTCTACTTTATCTAACCTATCTATAATGTGGACTGTCATCAACTCAGTCATCAGAACTTCTCATATTAAATAATCATCTGTGTATCTATCATCTATCATCTGTCATCTATCTATCTATCTATCATCTATTTATCTAATCTATCTACATATCTATCTCTCTGTTTACTAGAAATCTCATATTTTGCATACCCAAAACTCAAAATTTGATCATCTCAAAAAAATTTTTCCACATTTTTTAGGTCAATAAGTGGAATCTAAGTGTTTTAAACACTTAAAGCTAAGTGTTTTCAAATATCTCAAGGCAAACACTTACAGGCAACACAATTTATCTAATCTCACAACACACATACAATCCATCTTCAGGGTTGTGCCTCCACATATATCCAGACACTGAAACATTTTTTTTAATATATTTTATTGATTTTATACAGAGAGGAAGGGAGAGAGATAGATCGATGAGAGAGAGTCATCGATCAGCTGCCTCTTGCACCCCCCCTACTGGGGATATTCCCGCAACCAAAGTATAATACATGCCCTTGACCGGAATCGAACTCGGGACACTTCAGTGCCCAAGCCGACGCTCTATCCATTGAGCCAAACCGGTCCCGGCAGACACTGAAACATTTTAACCGCCTCTCCTGCTAGAACTCCTGATTTTTTTCCTTCTGTGTCAGTCCTCAGTACCTTCAAATATATCCCCTACACTGCAACAGAACAAGCCTGTTAAGTTGTGTCAGATATCATTCACTGCTCAAAACTAGTCAGTGTCCTCGTTTAGGTCTTGACTCAACTGTCACTTTTTTTCTTATGGAGTTTCCTTACTACTTACTTAAAATTTCAAAATCTGGCAATATATTCCATTACCCTTTCTTGCTCTATTTCTTTAATAGCACTTATTTATTTTTCATTTTGTTTATTATTTTGCCTCTTTTTTTTTTTTTTTTTTTTTTTTAATGCCAGCTTCACAAAACCAGGGATTTGGTTTTTATCACTCCTGTATATCCAACATTTAGAACAGTGTTTGGCACAAAGAAAACATTTAACCAATATTTACTAACTAAAACAACTCCTCTTTAAAAGATATGTGGTTTTTATAATGCACTTTTGTTTAACACTGATAGTTTTAAGGTAGAAATGTATAAAACTTAAAAATAAATTTTCCTATTTTCTAAATCAAACTCTCAATGGAATAAATGTAAATATGTTAATAAAAAAAGCATTTAAATCATCCATTCTACTGAATGCCCAATTTCCTCTTGGTTTGCCACAAACAATGATGTATATAATTTAACTTTAAATTAGTGTATAATCTGCTAAACAGTTACATTATAATTACAAAATCTAACATGATTTTCAAAGATGGGGGTATTTAACTAATTTAATTATTTCCCATGAATGATTAAGATATGACTAAACAAGGATAAGGTAGAGAATAGATTTAAAATATATTTTTAAATGCCATTCTTAAATATTTATTGGAACATCAAAAATATATCATAAATATTGATTTTAAAAATTTAACAATGAATTATTTCTAGATGCTAATTGTCCCTGTCTCACTACTATTTTGTAAAATGTAAGAAGCTTATCTTGTGATGAGTCAATGATCCAAGAGCACGGCTGGAACTCTGAAAGCTTGGGTTGATAAACATTTCCAATATCGTCCCATTCTTTTTTCTCTATTTTTCCCCCCAAGGAGCTTGATCACAAGAGCCCTTTTTCTCCTATTATTTAATTTTTTTGTGTGTCAAAACTCTCAAAAGCTTTTCAAAGACTGTTTCAAATAAAATAAGGCACTCAATAAATCGCCCATCCTTCTTAAAGCAAAATGCCAGTTCTTACCAGAATACAGTAGAGACTACATAAAAATTGCACTTTTAATAGTTAGTTAGAAATTTTGAGAATTTTTAACTTTTGACATTACCATTTTTAATATTTCATCTTGGGCAAGCTACTTAGCATATGGATGCTTCCATTGGT